AAAACCGAATCGAACCGAACCAACCCGACTCGCGCCCACCCCTAGGGAGCATGCTGAAACCTTAATTTGTAGATCAGGATAATACATCAAGCATCCAGACCATGCACAGAATTGCAGACGAAGGCATCGAGGACATCACAAACATAGGTGGGATGAATGTCAAGGCATCTCCCAATGTGGCACTTGAACAGAAGGCCAAGCCTAGCAGCTGTCAACATCAACTTCCAATAGTAAACCCTGAGTTACAAACAACTTTTATACATCTAAGGAGTGGTGGTATAGTTCTGTTGTTTCAGTTTTTTATCAGTAGTTGTAACAAAATATTCTGTTTCCTCATCCTTTTTGTCTACTGTAACACTCAGGTTTTCTTATTTTTACAGGAGGTAGTAAGTATTAGAAAAATTTCTAGGTCTCTGAAGTTGACCCCCAGCTCTACATTTATATCAAGCTTTCTGCATATATTTAATCACAATGAAGTGAATACATTCTGGCTTTGACTGTGCCATGAGAAACATTTCTTTGATTGCATAGTTCATATAATGATATTAAACATGATTATGATGCAATGGTGACTGTGACAAAAGTAGCCCAGCAAAGAAGGCTGCTTGCCACATGATACCCATCATTGAGCTTCACAGAAGGCACCCTGTGACAACTAATCTGAATATCATGTTTGTATTTTCTCTCAGCTGTTAAATTTGTATTCCGGAAAGTTGGACAGGCTTTTCTGCGGTCCATTATTATAATATATTACAAGACTCTTGTCATCTAGTTGAAGTGAATTTGTTTTGTCTTCGACTGTGCCTTGATAAACATCTACATGTATACAGCAATCAAGAACATGACCAGTAAAGAACCAATAATCAAATAATAAACTTTCATGCTACGAAGCCTCACAAGAGAAAATTGCACATTGCCACTTCACACTTCAATCTACACCAGAGAAAGAACCGCATAATTGTCTTACGAACCACTACTGCCACATCATTATATCGTGCAGGCAAACATTTCTCAGGCTGTCAAAAAGCAGGCCAGCAATGATTACCACATACTAATGTGCACAACCATGGTTGTTAAACTATTGACAGGATATTATGATCATGCTATTCTATGATCCCAAATCGACAAAATGATCCGGTACTGGTGTAGGATCTTAAAACTGTAGAATCTTACAATCCCGTTGGATTCTACGATCCTCTATATTGTTATCCCTGTGAACTTTCAGCGTTATTTTTAATAAATTAAGTAGGTTGGGTGGTTGGGAACTTTGGTTGAGTTTCAATTTGAAGTAAAACCCAAATGAAAACTAACAAAAAATAAACGGCAAAAATTATAATCCCTAATCTTATAAACGTGAGAAATTGACAGTATAATTCCTTCATTTGTGACATTTTTGAGCTCTCTCTCTTTCTTGTTTTTTATCACTTATAAGATGGCTCATTCGCATTTTGCTTCTTAATCCATGGGTATTCTTTTTTTCCCCCTGGGAACTTGGGTAGAATTTCGACCGACTTGGTTATCTGGGATTATGAGATTATTAGTGTTCATATGATTCGTGGTTGTCTGTACTTTTTGCAATTATCCATGGTGGTTGGTATACATAAGTTTTTCATATAAATTACAGTTAGCCCTGTTTGGCACCATTAAAATCAAATTTTGGAGAAAATGTATTTTACCATAGTGATTTTTTTTGGAGGATGTGTAGTTAAAAAATAAGAAAAAATTTTGGGTTTACGCGTAATATTATTGGGTAAATAGCACAAAACGTCCCTATATTTCAATGTCATTCTGTAAAATGTCCTTACCTTTCATTTTTTGGCATTTTCACCCCTACCTTCCACATTTCATCACAGAAAAGGTCATTTTCAACCATTTTTCCAATAAAATGACAATTTTACCCTCCTATTCAAATGAAACAAAAAAGAAAAGAAAAAATAAACAACTAATTACAATCATAGTTCTAATTTTTTTTTAAAAATGCAAATAAGTCCAAAATTTGTGGGTTCATTTCGAGAATCTT